GAAAGATTTATAGCATTTTGTTTGGACAGGGATAGCTGAATGGAGCGTGTGAGCATAATAAGGAGTCTGGCGACACTCAATTTCTTTGATGTTTTGTGTTCATTGCTATTGATCATCTGGACAGCATCTTTGATCAGAGGTTATGGCAGTCTTAGATGAAGTGTGTATTGCAAATCTGTGCAGTAAAACAGTAGAAAGTTACTAATAACATAAAAAAAAAAAAAAATCCAACCAAACAAAAAAACCCACAAAATAAACCACAACTGTTTGAAACGAAAGGGTCTTGCCACACAGTTTATAACTTAAGATCTTTTGAGCTACCATAAACGCAGTGTTTGATAAGAAGATTTTCGTTGGTGGGAAATGTATTACCTTTCTGATAAGGACGTTTAGAAGTCTGTTGTATTCTAACTGGAAGGCTACATAGACATGAGTTTCAAGAGAGAAAAGAATCTGTTAAGTGGAATATGTATGATTCTCTTTTTGTGGCCAGCTTCTTTTCATAATGATATTTTCCTGAATACCAACACTATGTGAAAATAAGTTTATAAATCTGATTATTCTGTCAGGTTACCACAAAACCAACTCACCTTCAATTTGCATTTTGAAGAGTTTTTGTGCTGTAAGGCTTCCACTAAAGCATTTAATTGTTGAAGTGTAGGTTGCTATTAATAATCTCTGAGATATAAAGACCTGTTTTAAAATATTGAGAATAATTAAATATTTTAATAAAGGAATACAAAAAGCACAGGAGTGAGGCCAGATTTTTTTTTAGTATAGAGAAACTGTATACATTTGTAGTGTACGTATATGTAGTGTGTATCTGTGTATCAGTATACTTTTGTAGTGCATGTCTTAATCGCAGTACTCTTACTATTGTGACGTTGATCTTTCTACATGAAAAACTTCTTGCTTTCTTTAGGCTATTGCCTTACCTCCTATAGCCAAGTGGCCGTACCAGAATGGATTTACTTTCCACACTTGGCTAAGAATGGATCCTGTAAATAATATCAATGTGGATAAGGATAAGCCTTACTTATATTGGTGAGTATTATGTAAAAGCATATGTCTGATGTTCAGTTTCTATTAATTGTTCAATGATTTCTGCTTTCACCTGTGTATGTGCTAATTTTTGTTCTAATTTGTTAGTTTTCGAACAAACAAAGGACTTGGTTATTCTGCTCACTTTGTTGGAGGCTGCTTGATTGTAACATCCATAAAATCAAAGGGAAAAGGTTTCCAGCATTGTGTAAAATTTGATTCAAAGCCACAAAAGGTGAGTACAAATAATAGAATCTTTCAAACAGGTTTCATGAATTTAAAAATGTAGCCTAGGGGGAGTGTTGTAGCTATTGATTAGGCTCATCTTTCTCTATAAGAACAGTTACAGTGGAATGAGCGCAACAAATTTGTGTTCTGAATGCTTAATACTTTTTAATATTACTTATGAAATATATAAGAAATAGCTAGGAAGTGCAGTTTACAAGAGTTTTATGCGTTTTTGAGACTTGTGTGAGTTCTCTGAGAACGCTTGGTATATATACACAGCTTGAAAAAAGGCTTATGACTTTTTTCTTCTCTGTTTATACTGTGTTTTCTCCAACCTCCAGACATTCTCTTCTGCTTTTCCTAAAGGGTTTTCCTAAGGCTCCCCTTTATGTCATTACTTACTCGATGTGGACAAATGTAGTATTATTTTAAGGAAGCATGATTACTAACCCATGTTCCATTTTCCTAATCAAGCTAGGACCATTAATAGGAGTTTGGTCTTCTTACATGTGGGGAGGACAACAGATTAATTCTTGAAAAATGTTATACTTCAGGTTCATTCAGATTGTCCAGAAAATAGTGTCATTGCATTTGGTGCTTTATTCTATGTAACTTTTTAAACATAAGAATTAAAATTGATTTTTTTTTTAAAGTTGATTTTATTCTTGAAGTTCAAGGCTTGCTTGCCTATTAAGTAGTATCATGCAATGCTGAACGTGTTTCCTTTTTCAGTTAGATATTCTGTTAATGTTTCTGGAGCAACTGGTGCAAACATTTTGTGGGAGAACAGGCCTGCTCAGGAATTTCTTATCAGTAATCCCTTGCCGTAAATATGGATTCTCTTGTGATAATTTGATATGCACAGCCTTTGAAAGTCTTTAGTCTGGAGCCATCCTTGCTGTTTGGAATGACAACATTTGCAGTGGTCTATCATGTCAAGAGTAACCCAACTTAAACTTATTTACACAGTGGTTTCAGTGTAAATTTGGTTCAGCATTGTCATGAAGGTTTTTTGAGTTCTATGCCATAAATATCTTTTAAGCTTCTGTGTCTACTTTTTGTGGAAAAAGATGGCATATTATACTTTGACATAGCTATGCAAGAAAACTCACCAATGACTTAATATTTTCAACTTAAAATAAATCTTTCAATCTTAATTCATATAAATAGTTGAATTTGTTCTACTATGCTTCACTTTAATGCTTAAGCTTCTTCAGTTGTCTGTAGAATTGTATTGATTGTTTTCTTGTCATTTAGTGGTACATGGTTACTATAGTGCACATCTATAACCGCTGGAAGAATAGTGAACTTCGATGCTATGTGAATGGGGAACTGGCATCTTATGGAGAAATAACATGGTTTGTCAACACCAGTGATGTAAGTAATCCCTGTATACTAATATCTATAGTTGATCATCTAGATGGATTAAAAAGATATCCTTTGCCATTTTATTAATAAACCTCCTGCATTTTATGCATTTTCAAAAAATGTTGAAATAAAATTAGTAAATTGTTGGTAGAGGAGTAGATTCTGCTTTCATACATCTCAGAACTTAAAATTTGTTTCTGCTGAGACCCTCAAATGCTAGTTTATGTTGAAATAATATTCCCTGATAATATGTATAGTCTGTGCATAATTTGCTTGTATAGTGTAGATTAAAACCTGTTACTGGGTTCTCTTTCACTTTCAGACGTTTGACAAATGTTTCCTGGGTTCTTCAGAAACAGCAGATGCCAATCGAGTGTTTTGTGGGCAAATGACGTCCGTTTACCTTTTTAGTGAGGCTCTCAATGCTGCTCAGATCTTTGCCATTTATCAGCTTGGTCTGGGATATAAGGTATCTTAGAATTGACTGTAAAGTTTCCAAAGTTTAATTCTGATAAGACACTTTATGGTGGGTTTTAAGAATATTGTGACACTTCTGTGTCGTTCTAAAAATGTTCTTACTGTGTAATCTTTTTATTAAACTCTTCCATGTTTCTTCTGTAAGTGTATGTATTGCCTCACAAACTACAAGCAAGCATTAATTAAATTATTTAATTTCATATTAAAAATAAATTTACATTCCTGTTTACTTTTCAAAATTTGTGTGCTGGTGGTTGAGAGAGGGAGAACACCACTGTTGTCTCTGGCTAGGTTCACTTTTTCATTGAGGCTGAAAACTTTCTATCAGGTATGATGTATTCATTTTAGAAATGTAGCTTTATAGTTGATTGTGCTAGTCAGTCTTTTTAATGTGTGAAGTTAGTGCTGAGGATTAGTTTTGTTGCATTGATGTATTATTTGTTTTGTCATAGCCTGAGGGGCACCAGTTGAAGACTATTATTCCCTAGCAGCTGTACAAATATACGCTAGAAAGATGGTTCCCATTCTATTCGCTCCTCAATTATTAGTTCCTTCTGAGTGAACATTGCTGACTGTCATTCTGTTTCCTAGCTGATGTTTTTCTTTGACATTATCCACCATTTTGGCAATGTCACTCTTCAGTGGTCAAAAAAAATTCTGCAGTTCTAAGTCTGTAAAATTGACTTTGAGTCAGTGTTCTTAGAAGACCCCTTCTTTCTGAAATACTGCTAGACTGAAGAAGCAATGCTTTAGTCATTTTTTAGCAATAGTTCTGTTCTGAACCATATTCTAGATGTGTGTAATCTAATTTTTTTTCGTCTTTCCTTCCTCAACCCTGCTCCCCAATCCAGGGAACATTCAAATTCAAGGCAGAAAGTGATCTCTTCCTTGCTGAACATCACAAAATGCTGCTATATGATGGCAAACTATCCAATGGTATTGCTTTTATGTACAATCCAAGGGCTACAGATGCACAGCTATGTCTAGAATCATCCCCTAAGGATAACCCTTCTATTTTTGTTCATTCACCACATGCCCTCATGCTGCAGGTATTTCAACATTTTCATAGATTTGGAGGATACAAACAATTTCTGCTTGAAAACTTAAAAATCAAGTTTCATAGGGATTTGGACAAGATTGGGAAGTGCTGATAGGTTCCAGATTTTGGGTTGTCCCTACTGCTGCCTCCCATATTTCTTGAATTAATGTGGATGCACAAGAAGCATAAGAAAAAAAGGTTATTTTATCAAAGTTACAACCTAAAAGAAAATGTCAGTATTGCAAAGACTGTTAGCTTTTCAAAAAAATGTCCTTCTCCCTCATTTCTGACATATGTTCACTCCCCTACGGATATTACTTATCTCCTATCCTTTGCCCTGTTGATATGATACCCTTTTCTTCCCTGTGCTTTGAATGCCTTAATCTTTAAATTTGTCAGAAGCTTTTAATGTGTTTTGTTCTAGAATTTATCTATTACTAAAGACCTGTTTTAGAGTTTGCAAGCTTCCTCCTATATATTCATCTGAGGATCTACACTGTAGAATGTATCTAAAGCAGTAGATCAGCCAGACTGGGCATTTAGTGTGACTGTGGCAGCCAGTTTGTACTTCTTGCTGTTTCGTTTTATTTGGTAATAATACAGTTTTTATATTGAAGAAATTTCAAACTATTTCTAACAAACTTTTTAACAGTTTCTGAAGGAGATTTCAATATTTCTTATTTCTTCTTTGTCAGGATGTGAAAGCAGTCTTAACACATTCTATCCAAAGTGCCCTGCACTCTATTGGAGGGGTGCAGGTACTTTTCCCTCTCTTTGCACAGCTAGACTACAGGCAATATGCATCAGACCATGTTGACACAACTGTTTGGTGAGTGCATGTACTTACTGTGTTCTGTTCTTTTGTTTCTTTGTAAGTAAAGGAAATTAGCTCTTGCTTTATTAAGTGGCATAGTGGTTTAAATTGTCTTGTGCAACAATGAATTATGTCTAACAACAAAAAGGTGGCCTTGTTACACGCAGGACCTAGAAGTGAAGTGTGTGTTTGTACCAAATTTTCCATGAAAGTTCACACAGGATTAAAATGTACACATTCCTACTTCACATTTTTTTTGTGTAACAGAATTAGAGACAATACTCTGGAGCATATTCCTGGGATGGAGGAAATCCAGTGGGGAAGGCTTCAAGAGTAACTCCAGGAAGGATGAATTTTTCAGCTGCATGAAGTTATTCCTTTCAATATTTTTGTTTTTAGCTTCCAACTTTTTGGAGATACTGTTACTCAGTGTTACGGCCAGGCTCTTCCACTGATTTCAGCTGTGTATCAACTCAGTCCAACTTTTGAACATCCAGGGACAGAAACTGGTTGAGCTCCTAAGTTAAAGAGTAGTATTAATAGCAAAGGGATTGCTTTTTAGAATCCTGGTGCAGTTTGCTCTGTTTCATTGCAATTGTAGTTTCATGATTGTTTACAAATGATCAGCGTACACATTGTTGCTAAGAAGGGGTGGTCACAATGTTCTTTCAGCCCATTTGTACGTTCCTGGGCATCTCTTGAGCTGGCTCAGACTTGGGCATCTGTGTGATGAGTCAGGGATTTGATTCAGTTACAAGCCAACCCAGCAATACAGGAGTTTTCAGCCGCCTAAGATCTTGATTCATAGGCACTAGTGCCATGACACAAGGGGGGAAGGGCATGAACATTCCTTTTGGCAGCAACACAGAGCTGAATTAGCTTGAACCGATAGTAAAGCTGTGTCTAGAAAAGTATTTCCAATAGCTGCTCATGTGAAAGCAGTAGGAATTGGAATAGCGTTTGTTACTGGTCTTCCAGAAGTTTGTAAGTGAAATATAAAGGAGAGAGAAGTACACGCTTAACTGTTGCCTTTCTGCAAGAACATTCTTTTTGGAAGAACTATTGCACGGTTATCTCAGAATCCAGAATTTCAAGTTAGAAATGCATTAGTTAAAAGCAAGAAGTTAGAACTTTCAAAATTTAGTGTGGTTTGCCGTTTTAAAAATTCTGATCTGAGCATTAATGTGTAACACATTAAAAATATCTCCGGGCTGTGTGATGGAAGTGTTAATTTGGAAAAAATTTCTGTCCTACTGTAACCCTATAAAACATTTTTCTGTACTAAACCATTATATTTTTCAGTTCTACTTTACTGGCTTTTATCATGGAGTTGCTGAAGAACTCCATTGCTATGCAAGAACAGATGCTTTCCTGTAAGGGCTTCCTTGTCATAGGATATAGCCTAGAAAAGGTAAAGCAAATCTTTCTTAATGTCTTACATTAATGTTGGGTTTTTTTTTTCAAGAGAAGTACTTTTCCTAAACTGTTGCAGGGCTCTTCCTTAAGCAGATCATCTTTTGCAGTCTTCCAAAGCCCATGTTACGCGAGCTGTCCTAGAACTTTGCCTTGCCTTTTCGAAATACCTGAGCAACTTACACAATGGGGTGCCCTTGCTGAAGCAGCTGTGTGATCATGTTCTCCTTAATCCTGCGATATGGATTCATATCCCAGCACAGGTAAAATTGCCTATTCTTGTGAATAAAGTGTTTTATGAGGTATCGATTTTGGAGTGTTGAGACTAAGCCTGGATTCCAAGAATTGTAAGTCCTTGCTCCCCAGCAGAAATCATACAGGAACTGTTTTCAGACTCTGTTTTTCTGCATGTAGCTGTCAAGTTTTGCAGACTCCCAAGGTTTTCAGGGAGTTTGGAAACCGGCAGTGTTCTGCAGGGCAGGGTTGGGAGTGACTTCTGGAGTCCCTGATCCAGCGAGTGTTGTACATTGAGAAGGAATTTTGGATGGGTTAGCTGGCAAAAACTTAGCGATTTTTAAGAGCAGTTATCCTAGATTTGGAGCCTTCATTTAAATGGACATACTCCCTGCAGAGTATTTTTGTTTTGGTGAATCTATGTTCTCTGAGAGTGAACAGCTTGGATGGAAACTTTCCAGTTGGTTTTACTTGAAACCCTCTTACCAAATTTTTTGATCCCCTCCATCATGAGGGTTTGTTTTACATTTCAAAAGCTGAAACAACACTAACAATGGTACCGTTGAAGTTGTTGTAAAAGATTTGTTTGCTACAGTTAAATTAAATTAGTAAATATTATTTAAGTCATTATTTCTCAGAAGAAAAAGGGAAAGAAGATATGTAAGTAATTAAGCCTATAATCAATACTTAAGCCTATAATAAATATGCGCCTTTCTGTAATACTTGATGTGTGACCCTGTTCTGAACAGAGAGGTTGGACTAGATGATCTCCAGAGATGCCTTCCAATCTCAACTGTCTGATAGTGTGAATAGCATGCTTTCATGCTCCTATGAGTGTGGACCAGCTTAAAAAAAACACAGCACCCTGTAGTTTCAGAAATAAAATCAAAATTTTCATCAGTTTGCAAGGGTCTTAAGAGCTTTGTGGTTGAGCTATGCAGAGAAAATCTGTTTCTTTAAGATATTTTAATAGGTGAATTTTATGAATGCAATTGTCTGATGTGCTGCAATTTTCTCATAATGATTTTTGGTTTTCTGATTGGGTATTGTAGGTTCAGCTGATCCTGTACACCTACCTATCTACTGAGTTCATTGGCACAGTTAACATATATGGTGCAATCCGACGGGTTGGGACAGTTCTTTTGGTCATGCACACCCTGAAGTATTATTACTGGGTGGTAAATCCTCAGAATCGCAGTGGTATAACTCCCAAGGGCATGGGTATGTATTCATTTCTACCCTTACAAACTGATGCTTGTTTTTAAAAAAATGTTGTATACAATGTATAGAATAGGAATATAAATGTTCCGTAAAGAATTTTATTTTAATGTGGTGTGTTCACTGTAACAGTTTGAGCAGTGTGCTTTTGTCCATAGGATATTCTTGAGAGCTTTTTTTCAGAAACTAATAGAAACTTTTGTCAGAAGTCACATCCTCTGTCACCAAAGACCTACATGAATTAATAATAGATAGAACTGATCAGAGGTAGGGTTTTGAAAATGTAGACCTGTGCCTGGGAATGTGGTCTCTTTATGGAGCTTGTTCAAGTACTGGACAGGCTTTAAGTGCTTGTAAGATTTATTGATAATAACAGTATAGCTGAAAACAGGCATACAGAGTCTCTCTGACAGGCGTAGGGATCTGAACTTGTTGGAAAACTGCTTAATAAGCATATTTAATCCAGACAGTGAACTCAGGGCAAAAAAAGTAATAAGAAATTTAGAACAGATGTTTAGTACTTGTCATTGACACAGGACAAGAATACTGACCCTAAGAAAAAAAAGCAACAGGAATAGCTGCTTGACTTAGAAATCCAGTACTGTAAAAGGAACTGGGAGAAGTGAAATGTGCACCAGCATAACATAAACATGTGCAGATGGAACTGGCACAGATAAGGGAGTTAATTTTTTTTGGAAGAATGGCTTTACAGCTCTTCTAGTTGTTGTTCTGTGTTTTATGGGGTTGGGCACACAGCCTTGGCAAAGGGAGAAGAACTTATATCTCTACTCTCTCCTGCAATGAAGAAAGGCTCTGAAATTTCAGAGAGAGAAGCAGGCTTGTGAAAGAGAGCTAGATGTGCTGGGAGTGAGTGCTTCTTACAGGTGTCCAACTTCCTGTCACTAACTTCTCGAAAAGGGCTACGAGGATGATGAGGGGACTGGAACATCTCCCCTACGAGGAGAGGTTGAGGGAACTGGGCTTGTTCAGCCTGAAGAAGAGAAGGCTGCGAGGGGACCTTATAAATGCTTACAAATATCTGAAGGGTGGGTGTCAGGAGGATGGGGCCAAGCTCTTTTCAGTGGTGCCCAGTGACAGGACAAGGGGCAATGGGCACAAACTGAGGCACAGGAAGTTCCGTCTGAACATGAGGAAGAACTTCTTCCCTCTGAGGGTGATGGAGCACTGGAACAGGCTGCCCAGGGAGGTTGTGGAGTCTCCTCCTCTGGAGATATTCAGGACCCACCTGGACAAGGTCCTGTGCAGCCTACTGTAGGTGCCCCTGCTTCGGCAGGGGGGGTGGGGTAGATGACCCACAGAGGTCCCTTCCAACCCCTACGACTGTAGGTGCCCCTGCTTCGGCAGGGGGGTTGGACTAGATGACCCACAGAGGTCCCTTCCAACCCCTACTATTCTGTGATTCTGTGATTCTGTGAAATGACCAGCCCTTCCTGTTAGAAGGTTGCAAAGATCGTTTTGTAGTCTTTTGCATCCTGTAAGGAGCAAAGCATGTGTGCTTGCTCCTTTCTTTTTAGTGAAGGCATGAATTTACTTAGTTTCTGAACTAACTTACTGAGCCTGAGGCAAGCGTATGTGTAGGATAGTCTTATTAATACAGTTTAATGGCTTATTTTGACTAGACCAGTCTGTATTGACAATAACTATTCTTAAACTAAAAATGCTTGTGGGCCTGTACTGTATAAAACCAGACTTGTATGATCACTTGCATTTGCTAGTTGATTTGCTTTTCCCTGATGATTAAGTTCATAAGAACTGAAACTATGAGCAAATGTAAAAACTATCCCTAGAAATGTATTTGCAAGACTTCATTTGCTTTCTGTGTGAAAACTTCTACTTGACTTTGACATTTGGTTGCACCTGTTATTTTAACCTTGCCTCTCCTGGGAGTTGCTCAGTGTTTGAGTATTTAAAATGTTTCAGTGAAAGTCTGCTTTACACAAGAATGGCAGAAGCAAGTCCTTTTCACTTTGAGTTAACAAATTAAGCCTTTGACTTTCAAGGTAATCTTTATATATAGCATTCTAAGATTGATTTTTGTTGTGTATATAACCAATGTGTAATAATGGCAGGTAGTTGTTCTTTGAGCTTTAGCAGAAGAACTTCAAAAACAGTAGTAAACTGTGAAAGTTTACTGCCCTGATCTAGTGGAAGGTGTCCCTGGCCATGGCAGGGGGGTTGGAACTAGGTGATCTTTAAGGTCCCTCCCAACCCAAACCATTCTATGATTCTATGAAAAATTTGATACCTGGAAATTCTGACATAAAAGTTCTCGTATCAGTCTTATTCGTTGCAGGAAGTTGGTTCATAGACACTGCAAGGAAGTGGTACAGTAATAAAAATAATTTAGAGGAGTTTAGAAAACTGTATTTAATAAAAGCCTCAGTAGAAACTTGCTGGCATTTTGCTAATATACAGTGATAATACATGTTACTATTTTGTAGTCTGAAATGGAGGAAAGATAATTTACTTAGAATTGTGCCCTCTTCACCCAGAAAATGCCTTTTATTTTTCTTTATGTGAAAATACAAACTATGCTAATAACAACTGTAAATTTGCATTGCATGTATCTACTTTTGTTTTTTTGTAGATGGGCCACGGCCCACTCAAAAAGAGATTTTATCTCTGCGAGCATTCTTGTTGATGTTCATTAAACAGCTAGTGATGAAGGTAGGATAACTTTAAATTATGATAGGATATCTAAATTTCCTTTCATAAAGAAATGTACTTTAATATAGCATTTCTTTCTAAGCATGTTGTCTTTTGTAAACAAAGAAGTAAATAGAAATACCATGTAAAAGTGCATGTTTCAGTTGCGGCTCTTGCCACAGACAGCAGTGCTAAAGATGCATTTTTCTCCATTTGAAGCTGTTTTTATCAAAATCAGAGGTGTTAAATCACTAACTATAGAAATTTTTACTACTGGGAAAATAAGTATTACATTGCGTGATTTGTTACTGACAAGAACAATATCACCTGCATCAGAAGAAGTGCTTAAACGCTAAAGAGCAGTATTTGACATTGTATGCTGTGGGCCAGTGGGACAGAGGAGGATAAGACAGACACTATCAATAAGTTTCGCAACTGTTAGCCATAAGAATACTGAAATTCAGCAGTTCTGCTGCTTATAGACTCTTCTTAACCTTTCCGATTGTAAGCTCTAATTTCTCTCTTCTCTTCATTCTGTAGGCTGTCTTTTCTCTGTTTGAATCTAGCTCCCTTTTCCCCTCTTTCTCTCTGTTGCTAAGGGACCAGTATGCTCTCTGTGCTGCTCCCCTTAGCCCCAGCAGCATGGAAGAACAACTAGCAGAAAAGTTCTGCTCTTGACTCTCATACTCTTTCTTTAAATTGGATGTTCTACAATTGAAGTATCAAGGACACTTTAGCTATCAAACTCTGAAAGATTGTCATTAAATTTTAGCTTCATTTTTATTTATTTATTTTTAAAATTTCTGTCATATTTATAACTTGGGCAGTTTTGGATAAAGTTTCACAGGGACAGTAAAAAACATGTCCATCATAAATGGTTTATTCTTCTGCAAATTTTCTATTTGTACACAGTAGTGCAAAATCTTTTCAGGAAATGAGAGACTTGCTTTAAAAAATAAAAGCCCTAGAAATGAAGACCCCTTCCCTCATCCTGTTCTTAGAAGCTGGTTTTTGTTTATTTTATTTTCACCAAAAAGACCTCAAGGTGTATTCCTGACAAAGACGCCATAAAAGATCTAAATTTCTGCAAAGTGGATAGCAACTGAAAATAGGATTCTGTAGTGGAAAATAAGAAGCAAACTCAGCTCTAGGCATAGCTAGCAGGCTTATAATTAAACATCCAGGTCTACTTTTGAACTCTCTTTGCCACCTTAATTTAAGTCTTCTATTAATAGGAAGCTCTTAGTTCAAGTTAACTGTGTCATTTAACATGTGTTACTCTATCAATTTCATGTTCTATATTACTGTCTAGCTTATTTTTATGCCTGTATTGGAGTTGTCTTAATGCACTTTTATAAACCTTCAGTGGGTATTTTTTTCTGGGGGAGGAAGCTACCTTGCAACTATGAAGCTATTATAGTACCAAGTGAAAACAAATTTGTCTTGTAGGACTTGCTCTGTATATAACCATGGCTAGTAATAATGCTTTTTTGGGAACAGTACTTTTGTACTTGAAAGATGATAGTTAAAACCTGATTGTTTTTAAAGGACTATGGAATAAAAGAAGATGAATTGCAGGCTATCCTCAATTATCTGCTCACTATACATGAGGTAATTTTTAATTTGCTGGATGTGCGCGGGGGAGAGAGGTACTACTTTTGCTGTTTGTGACCACCAAATATTTGAATATTTTCAAATATTACATTCTTTATGCCACAAGATGGCTCTGTAGAGGAAGTAGCAAACATTGTCCAACTCTTTAGTGTAGTGTACTGAATTGCCAATATTCTTGCAGTGATTTAAGGACTATGTTAAATGTTAGATTGAAGTTCATTAAGCCAGGAAGTCAAAATCGTTTCTTATGTTGTTCTGCAAACCGATTTACCAAGTGGAAAAACAGATGGTGAGACTGACTTTAAAAAAAAGACAAAACCTTGTTTTATGCTGCATAAGTAGTATTTTTTGTTTAGTTTCTTTTCTCCTTTTAATTTTGCTTCTTAAATAAAGCAATAACATTGAAAACATGCATTAAAAATAAAGTTGTATGTTAATGGCATCTAAGAGAAGCATATAAACTTAATTGGGAGAAAACGTTGGTTACCACTGATACATCTGCATCTCCATATTTTAGCACCAGGAAAAGGCACTTTATGCCAGATGCAACATCAAAGACAAGGGAAATTGGGACATAAATCTAACTGATCCCATCTCTGTAAGGGTGCTTGAAATGGGTAAAATAAGGAATTAATTGAACTTCAAGCAGTATGGATTTTTTTTCTTTTTTTGTTTACACTTTTTTTCCTTTTATTCTCTGTGCTGGTTACTACTACTTGGTAGTACCATGATCAATCAACTTAAGTCATTCTACTTTGTATGGAGATGTAAAAAAATAAGATTCTTGGTAACATGTAAGAATAAACCAAAATAGCAGAAGCCTTATATAGCCTTCAGATGAGGAGGTGATATTTTAACTATCTTAGCAGTTTGCATGGTCAAGTCTGAAAGATCCATGAATGCTGAATGCCACAGAATTGGGTATCTACTTGTAAATTCAGAAAAACATCAACAAAAGAAGTAAAATTCAGCCTTCACATAGGGCTCATTCATCAGTAATAGCATCTGTAATGTAAGCTAATAATATCGCCAGGTGAACACAGTTGTTCGAGGGGTGTAAAACTGGTTTTCTAAGAGAGAAATAATCAGAATAGTCGTAAGTGTTGGAAAGTGGTTTTTTTTTTAATAAGCTTTCATTTTAATACCACAAAAAATGGGGAAAGACGACAGTTGCATTTTGCTACTTCGTAGGTTATTTTTAGTTGTAATTAACTTCGAACAAATTAATAAACTCTAGTTTAGAGTGCTTTAGACTAATAGTATGGAAAACTTTACTGAGCAGCTTGAATTACCCATTTTAAATGTCTGTGGCAGGTGGTGGTATTTATTTTTTTCCTGGGGTGGACATTTGTTAGTAGAGATTTTGTGTTGAACACCACCCTGTGCCCTAGAAAATGTGCAGCAGTTGATTTCTAGCTCTTGTGCTGTAAAAGAGGGGAAACAGATGAACATGTGTGTGGAAGGAAAGAGCATAGTAGAATAGTCTATTCCCTGTCAAAGGCTTACATCCCAGACACAGATGTGTCACTTTTCACTCTAAAAAATAAAGAGGTTTTTTTTGTAATATTTTCTCATGCACTTGTCTTCCAGATCTATAGCTCAATTGTTTTGGCCCTTAGTTTACTGTTACTCTCCAGATCATTTTGAAACGTTTCGTAGTGGTTCTTTTTAACCAAAACAATATTCTACTGTACATGCATTTTTAATTCAAATTTGTAACTTTTATTCAACAGGATGACAATCTAATGGATGTCTTGCAATTACTTGTTGCTCTGATGTCAGAGCATCCCAGTTCTATGATCCCTGCTTTTGACCAAAGGAATGGATTACAGTAAGTTTGAGTTTTGTAAGTGGGCAAAAGGAAATGGTATTTTGACCATACTGTTGCTTGCTAGAATTCCCGTGAAATCAGAAAGGTCCTGATCAGTGTATGTGTTGCAGTCTTGGACTCCTCATCTTGGGAGATTTTTGTGTCAAGGTGTTCTTTTGACAAGAGGTGATTTGGAATTTAGTATCAATGAGGTCGTTTGTGGTTTTTTTAGTGTTTCCAAGCTGCCAGTCACGCTTAAACAGGCAGTGATCAATTTGAGTTAGTCTGTAAATTGATGTTGTCTTCATTTACTAGTGCTTAGTATTTAACCTCCCATTCTTACATACATTTTAGAACTGAAAGTAGACTAAGAAAAATTGGTTCAGATTTCTTCTGATGTTTGTTAGCTTTCTTTCCTTTTTTTATAACATGTAGAGCATTATGGGACTTTTGCAGAAGAAACCTTTTATTTGTTTTAACGTAGCGCTTTGTGGTATGGATTGTTCACAAGATCTTTTTCTCAACAAAAAGAAAATAATCTTTAACATTTGTGAGAAAAGTAGGGTTAACAGCAAATTCTACTAACAGTAAAAGCACAAGAGAAGATCTGCTAGAAGACGATGAAGTTATGACTCTGATTTTGTGTTGTGGCTCTGAGGGTGGTCACGCTATTGAATTTTTCTAATTTAAAATGAACCTGCCTGGGCAGAGTGGGTAAAAAATTGGAACAGGCAAACAAATGTAAGAAATATTCGTAGAAGGGTATGTGGAATAGTAATTCTCTCGCTGTGTAAAGGCAGAGTCTCATTTCATACATTTTGTTGCACCTATTGGTTAACCCCTATTTATACATATATCTTTTTCAGTTACCCTTTCTCAAGAGACAGTATTCAGGCACATTAGTAATTGCTTTCTCCCCTTTTAGTGCTAGGCTGATTTTATTTTTTTTTTCCCATTTTCTTCAGCTTTGACTTCATTTGTATGGTAATGTATTATGCTATGGAAAATAATAAAATCTCTAAATAATAAAGTATTTTGAATGTCATGTTGGGTCTCCAATGCGATATGTTTGTTTTTATTTAACAACTGACAGTAGACATTTTCCTTTTTATTCACTAGTATATGGACAAGTCAGTATGAATAGTGAGTCCACAGTGAGAAATCACTTTGTTTTCCTGTCTCAGTTGTTACATTCCTTGCTCCTGTATTGTCTCCAGTCACTTAACGGGTTGTTTGTATGCTTATTGATACATCTACTTTTTGCAATTAAAACACCATATTATTTTAATTTAAAAATAATTTTACAAAGATTTAAAAAACAGAGAGGAAACAGTCTAGGAGGTTCCTGGAGCGCGTAGGAAATAACTTCCTGACATAGCTGGCAAATGAGCCTACCAGGGGAGGTGCCTCTCTTGACCTGCTGTTTACAAATGGAGGAGGACTGGTGGGAGATGTGGTGGTCAGAGGCTGTCTTGGGCTTAGTGACCATGAAATGATAGAGTTCTTGACTCTTGGTGAAGTAAAGAGAGAGGTGAGCAAAATCACCACCATGGACTTAGAGGGCAGACTTTGGCCTGTTCAGGATGCTGGTTGAGAGTGTCTCCTGAGAGACAGTCCTGAAGGGCAAAGGGGTCCGGGAAGGCTGGACATTCTTCAAGGAGGAGGACAGGAGCAGGCTGTCCCCATGTGCTGCAAGACCAACTGACGGGGAAGATGACCAGTCTGGCTGAACAGGGAGCTCTTGCTGGGACACAGGAAAAAAGGAGGGTCTACCACTTACGGAAGAAAGGGCAGGAGACTTGAGTAGTACAGGGGTCTCATTATGTTGTGCAGAGAGAAGACTAGAAAGGCAGAAGCCCAGCTAGAACTCAGTCTGGCTGCTGTTGTAAGGGATAACAAAAAATGTTTTTACAAATACCATAACAACAAAAAGAGAGCCAAGAAGAACCTCCATCCTTTACAGGATGCAGGGGGGAATATTGAGAGGAAACAAGGGGCAGGGAGCAGGGCAGAGGTGGAGAAAGCAGCATTGGGGCAGAAGGATAAAAAGAGAAAGAAGAAAGGCAAGAAGAAGGATGGGGAATGATAAAGAGGGGAAAGAGAAGGACAAGCCTTGCCATTGTGACGCCCATCTACAAGAAGGGCTGGAAGGAGGATCCAGGGAGCTACAGGCCTGTCAGCCTGACCCTGGTGCCAAGGAAGATTATGCAGCGGTTCATCTTGAGTGCCATCACACAGCATATACAGGACAACCAGGTGATCAGGCCCAGTCAGCACAGGTTTATGAAAGCAGGTCCTTGCTTGACTAACCAGATCTCCTTCCACAACAAAGACACTCACTTAGTGGATGAGGGAAAGGCTGTGGATGTTGTCTACCTGGACTTTAGTAAAGCCTTTGGCACTGTTTCCCACAGCATTCTCCTAGAGAAACTGCTCATGGTTTAGATGGGTGTACTCTTCACTGGGTAAAAAACTGACTGGATGGCTGAGCGCAGAGAGTTGTGGTGAATGGAGTTAAATCCAGTTGGCAGCTGGTCACAAGTGGTGTCCCCCAGGGCTCAGTTTTGGGTCCAGTCTTGTTTAACATCTTTATCAGTGATCTAGATGAGGGGATTGAGTGTTCCCTCAGTAAGTTTGCAGATGACATCAGGCTGGGTGGGAGTGTCGATCTGCTTTGAGGGTAAGAAGGCTCTGCAGAGGGATCTGGACAGGCTGGAGCAATGAGCCGAGGCCAACTGTATGAGGTGCAACAAGGCCAAGTGCTGGGTCCTACACTGGGTTCACAACAGCCCCGTGCAATGCTACAGGCTTGGGGAAGAGTGGCTGGAAAGCCGCCTGGCAGAAAAGGACCTGGGGGTGTTGGTTGACAGCTGGCTGAACAGGAGCCAGCAGTGTGCCCAGGTGGCCCAGAAGGCCAACGGCATCCTGGCTTGTATCAGGAGTAGTGTGGCCAGCAGGAGTAGGGAGGTGATCATGCCCCTCTACTCAGCGCTGGTGAGGTTTCACCTCGAATACCCTGTGCAGTTTTGGGCCCCTCACTGCAGGAAAAGCATTGAGGTACTGCAGCATTTCCAGAGAAGGGCAACGAAGCTGGTGAAGGGCCTAGAGAACAAGTCCTATGAGGAGCAGCTGAGGGAACTGGGGTTGTTTGGTCTGGAGAAGAGGAGGCTGAGGGGGGACCTTATTGCTCTCTACAACTACCTGAAAGGAGGTTGTAGTGAGGCGGGGGTTGGTCTCCCAAGTAACTAGCGATAGGATGAGAGGCAATGGCCTCAAGTTGTGTCAGGGGAGGTTTAGGTTGGATATTAGGAAAAATGTCTTTACTGAAAGAGTGGTCAGGCATTGGAACAGGCTGCCCAGGGGAGTGGAGTCCCCATCCATGGAGGCGTTCAAAAAACCTGTAGAGGCAGCACTTCAGGACATAGTTTAGCAGGCATGGTGGTGTTGGGTTGATGGTTGGACTTGATGATCTTAAAGGTCTTTTCCAATTTTAATGATTCTATATATGGAGTTTTTTACTAATTGGATTTTTAAAAGTAATCAATCTACTGAAGAGATAAGTGTAAGAAGATTTTTTTTTTTCCTGTGCAGTGAGGTAACCCTCATACTGTTTTCTTAAGACAAGCAGGGAAATGGATTATATTGCTTGAATGAACATTGTATTGTGGGCTTGCTCGTTTCTTTGATTCTACAGTTGCTGTGGCTGCAGCTTTCTCCAGGAGAACTTATTTGTTATAGATAATAGTTTTTTAATTACTCCTGAGTTTTCACTTAAATTCTAGTAAATATCTAGATTTTTTTTTTGTCTTAGTTTAGGTGTCCTCGGTAATATTTTTAGGTATGTAAAAGTGAAGGAATATATAACTAGTGATGGGTACTCAGTTGTCTATAGATAAGACCCAAAAACTTGAGTAAGTCCTTTGAACTCTTTACAAGTGGCTAATCTGAAATGTGGTATTGTAACATAGGATATTTTTTGTAAGACTCAGAATCACTGAAATTAGGTGATTGTGGTTTTTTTTTTTCCTTTCTCCTAACAAAGTGATACAAATTTCCTCAAAAATTTACTTACAATAGATTCACAGTAAAGGCTTAGTACTGTGCCTTCTGTTTTAATATAATTTCATAGAACATTAGGGAATTAAGCTATTTTTTTTTTCAGAGAGAGCTTAGTAGTCTGTGTAATTATAAGCTAAATCATATTTCACAGATTCAAAGAGCTGTCCAATACTGTGAACCATAGCCCAACTAAAATCAGATAGTGACGTGGTCGTAAGCACTTTACTGTCTAAGAAGTAAGCAGTGAATGAAATTAGATTAGCTCTTCTGGAAGATTTACAAGAATCAAAAACTTGCATTTGTTATTCTTCACATTGAGAGAAGGCCAATATTAGAATTCTTCAGTGTCTAAATAAACTTCATTTAATAAAAGATTAGGCTTTAATGTACTGCAAATAAATGTTTGAGAAGTTGAGATTAAATATGAGTCTGATTTCCTTTGATTTGGAGACTGGAAGGCATAGATAAATGTGATGAGATCTGTGCAGTATTACAGATTGAATTGGTAATGTTAAATATACTTGAGGTTACTGGACACCTCCCACCATAAGACTCTACTTCCAATTATTTATTAGTTTACCAGACTTTCATCAGCTACATTGACACTGCCCTTGCTGTGTCTGTTACACATTTGGCAAAACTTCAGCTAAAACTGTTCAGTTAGTTAAGTCTAGTACTTTGCTACAGACATCCCCTTCCTCCCTTTGTCTTTCTTCTTAAACCTTAGTGGGGAATCATAAGTGGGTGTAGAGCACAGTAAGGAGGTGAAGAGCAGAAACCAATGTAGGTGAGATGAGAAGAATGTCACCTGACTTGGTGTCTTCCTCTAGCCCTCCTGTGGGAGCAACGGTACGCACAGATGTAAAATATTAGTACTAGTAATAAATCCCCCTCCGTACATGGCTATTCCTGTCCAGCCACATTTATGCTAAAACAATTGCTTGCTTAGTTTTGTGGATAAAATATCAGATTAAGACAGTTGTCAATACAGGAATTGCAGCAGCCTTCCACAGCATGTTTCATGTATCAATCACTTGCGAGATATTTAAATTTGATAAAAAAAAATTCTAAATGTAATTGTTAAAATGTGAAATCACAAACTATTCTGCCGTTAACAAACATCATGCTGTTTTTTTGTAGTCTTATTAATAGTCATTCCTTTAAAATTAGGCTCAGATACAAATTTATTTGCAGTCTACTGCAGTTAATTTGTCATTCCAAAAACTGCTGTGTATTTCAATTATTTTAGGAAGCCTTGTGTTTTCTCTGCTTAGGGTTGTCTACAAGCTTCTAGCAGCACAAAGTGAAGGCATCAGGGTGCAAGCTCTGAAAGTGATGGGATATTTCTTAAAGCATCTTGCTCCAAAGTAAGTACTGGTTTAGGTCTTAAAACACCCCACCTCCCAAGAAGGAAAAAAGAAAGGTAATGAAAGGTAATGACACAAACATGCGATATTATTTTGTGTATACATTATTTGGAGTGTATGTACACACATTTGTATGTAAAGTAAAAAAAGCTATATTGGAGATTAATCACTACATATGCTTTGCTGAATAGGAGCTACTGTTCTTCAAGTACCCTTCAATTTGTTTGTCATTAATAAATTTCTGGTATGGTGGAGTTACTTGTTATTGGCAACTACTGTCCAGGCATTATCACTTGCTTACCAAGTTCATTTAATACTTACTTCCACTACAACTGCCTGCTTTATAAAGCGGTCTTTTTGCATAATTCTGCTGAAATTGGTAGCAAGAACTAGACTGGTGAGATTGACCCCTGTGTTACTTACTGAGAACTAGATTTAATATGTCTCAAGTTGGCTGTAATGGGAGGTAGCTTTTGGGATTGCTGTCCATCGTTGTAGTTTTGAGTGAAATGAGAACAAAGATGCCCTTTCCTTGGTCTTTATCAAGATATGCCTAAGGGTGTGTTGCAGCTTTTTGGACCCATGTGTGAGTGGACCGCGTTTATGGAAGGAAATTAGGTGTCTTCTGTCTGTCTTCAAAGAATGACTCATCCTTTCAGCATTTGAGTCCTTGCCCTTTTCCTTAACCAAAAGTCAAAGGCTTAAGGAGCAAAAAAGAACAAGACGTTTCCAGTGATTTCATATTTATTGAGGCACACTTTTTAAACTCTTTTTTTTTCCCCCTAAAGCAAGTTGAAGATGCAAGTTTATTTTATTTTTCTGTATTATTTTAGGAGAAAAGCTGAAGTCATGCTTGGACATGGATTGTTCTCCTTGTTGGCTGAAAGGCTGATGCTTCAGACAAGCTTAATCACCATGACCACATACAATGTCCTATTTGAGGTATTAATATACTGTAGTTAGGATCCAATCTTCCTAATTATTTGCAAGACATTGTTAGAAAATCACTTACATATTTGTGCTGATGTGTTCCAGATGACATTAGCATGATGCAGCTGAGTGCTGCCTTTTTTTTTTTTTTTCCAAGCTCACTACTTGAGATTCCACACCCCACCCCTTAAGTTGGTTATGCTCGTTATGAGCAATTGTAGATAATGAGTAACCTGAATGTCTCAACCAGACACTCATATATATGTGGAATTTTATTATAACAATGATCTTGCCTTATGGTGATTGTTTTGGTTAGATTCAGGTTTCTCTTTCAGTGTATGTAACATAACAGTGTGCACTTAAAAGAAAGCAAAACAAATCATGTAGAGTAAGATTTTAGGAACAGGATGAAATAAGTTGTCTAGAAGGAGAACAAGTAGTTTTTTTGGATAATTTTTAGAACCATAGTAAAATAATGATGGTGCTGTAAGAAGGATGTCTCCAACTATTTTTCAATAAGCTGTCTTTATGAACATTGATATGGCATCTTCTTCTTTCTTACTAGATTCTGACTGAACAGATTTGCACTCAAGTGATACATAAGCAACATCCTGACCCAGATTCAACAGTGAAGATACAAAATCCTCGTAAGAATGATACACATTTCTAAGTGCTCCCATAAGAAAAGTCTGCTCTAAAAAAAAAAAAAAACCACCACAAGAAAACCTATTAATTACATCCACCAGTCTTAATTCTGATCTCAGTTTTACTTTCTTTCATGCAAAAGGAAAGATAATGTGCATTTAGTTGCAGCTATTTAGGAAGTATGTCTCTATAGCTTTATGAAAGATGTTTTATGTGTCTAAATGTGTATGTAGTTCATCCTTTTTTGCTGTGTAGTCATGTTATGAAATACTTTTTCAAGACTTGTATGCGCAGGATACTTTGATTTAATACATGTTAAGGTTGCAAAAAAATTCTGATTGCCTTATTTAATGATGTCAGACTAAATTACCTGAAATATGGGAACAGCCTTCATCTTAAATTACATTCAGTACGACAACACTGGGTGGAAAGTAGGAGAAATGTATCTGCTCACTGTTTTGGTTAGCTTACTTTGTGAGAAATATCTTGATATGAAACTTTAGATGTCTTTTGAACTAAGAGAAAATACTGATCTCCTTTCCTGAATTATATGCATTATTAATGTGCTCTATATAATACAATGTACTTATGATAGCTTTGGAAGTTCATTTTTTTTCTGGTGAAAAAATAGATTTTTCACTTTCATAGCTGCTTTGTCATTAAATGTAGGTCATAGTTATGGGTTTGCTTCATGAGGAAAATGGGGGAAGAGAAAGGAAAGCAAAGCAGATACAGAGGAAGAATCTGGTTGCAGTATGCCATTTGCTTTCTGATAAATCTGTATGAAGCAAAAAACGTGAGATTTCTGTTACTTTCTCTTAAGATTTTAGAAGTTGGCAGTCGCTGCTATAATTAGTACAGATTATTTGTAGTGTGAGGTATGAGTCTGGTATTATCTAGGTCTAGTAGGAAGAGTGACTTCTAGAGTACCTTTAGAAGATCAGTGCTAGTATTATGAAATAAGGAATTTCTCCTTTTAAAGAAATTCTACAAGGTGAACTGAAACTATCACAGTGATCGTGTTTGAATTGCACTGTAATTTATTTACAAAGTTAACTTGTAACAGAGGCTGCCTCACTGCTTCAAAAAGTGGAATGTACCAACAATTTTAATTGTCTCCTAAAAAAATTAGAAAACGTTATGCTCATAAGATATGAAATTTTATGTCAGGAAGGTTTTTCCCCCTTTCTTAAACTTTGTTTTATAACAGAAATTGTTAAGTATAATTGAAAGATGTTCACATTCTTCAAAAATCCAGTATTGCTAAGGTAGAGCAAAATATATGCATTTTTCTCGTATATTCATTTTCTAACAGATGCATTGTATGATGTGAACTTCCTTAGAAAAAGGTTCTGACAGATTCTGGTAGCTTGTTGTTTGTCATGCGGTAACATTTCTGCTGCTTAAACTCGATAATTCAAAAAATTTGAGTATAATTTAACTTGGATTACATTTCCTTCAGCTGTATAGTCCTGCAAATCCCCCGATGGTGACCATGTTTGAGAAGTCTTGGAAGAAGGGATTTGTTAAACCTTCTACTCAAATAGAGATGTGCTTTTTCTCAGTATAAAACTTCTTTATGTAGCATCATTTTTCTTGTGACAATATTGGAAGATGTCCTGTATTTTATGCTGTGCTTAGTACTAATATTTTGTTGCTCATGAACTGTTTTACAGAGATTTTGAAAGTTATTGCCGTACTGCTGCGTAATTCTCCACAGTGTCCGGAAACTCTGGAGGTTCGGCGAGCCTTCCTCTCAGATATGATTAAACTTTTTAATAACAGCAGAGAAAATAGGAGGTAAGATACCTTACTACATGCACATGTATACAAAGTAAGTAACAAGGTCTCCTAATAAATTAGACTCGTTAAACAGTTTCATTGCTGTTCAGCAAATTCTGTACTATAGTCTTCAATATGTTAAATTTGAGAAGCTTGCGCATAGTAGTTGTTTTAAACATGTTGAATTCCTGACTTAGCTGATGTGTGTTTCTAAGATATGTTTTGAAATTTGATTAAATAACGTGGATGGATTTTGCAGGAGTTTGTTGCAGTGCTCCGTCTGGCAGGAGTGGATGCTTTCCCTTTGCTATTTTAATCCGAAGACTTCTGAGGAACAGAAGATAACCGAGATGGTGTATACCATATTTCGAATTTTGCTCTACCATGCAGTCAAATATGAGTGGGGTGGCTGGCGTGTTTGGGTGGATACACTGTCAATCACACATTCAAAGGTAAGTGTTTGAAATAGTTGGGAAATTTTGTTACGCTGTGTGATTAGACTTAGACCCTTAGAGTGCTGTATCGTACAATGAGATAGTCTTGAAGTGAAGGTCATAGTTAAATAAAAGCCCAGTGCTTATATCCGTTACTGGGCATGGCTTTAAAATATTGATGATTAAATGTTAATTTTGTTGTTTGAACACAAATCTTTTTTTGTTGTTGCCCAAATTGTCATAGTGTTAGTTTATGCTGAAAATGGCACATATTTTCTAAAATTAGAGTCAAATTTCAGGAGCATTTCTGAAAAATGTTAGTGCTCGTTTTGGTTTTTAATAATGACACGAACACAAGGTGGCGCACCATATCTATTTATAAACAAAAATTCCTTGTAGTGACATCAAAAGGCTGTAAAACAAACCAGTAAAAAGCAAAGAAATCCATGTTAAGACAGATGCTTCAGCTGTTAAGCTGCCATGGAATACAGGGTGAGAACACAGATCCTTACAGCGTGAATGAGACTATTACCCTTCATTTTTCTTCTGTCTGATATTTTTGTCATTGTTACAACCAGAATCATAGAAAAAAAGTTACTAGTGGTTCTTTGAACAAGGCACCGTAGTATAAAAGATAACTGTCCTGCCTCTGCTAAACTGAAGAGTGAGGCCAGTGTGGGCCTTGTAATTATTCTGGTTTTTCAGAAATAGTTACCTAAGATGAATTAAATTGTAAATTAAATATTTCTAAATCTGTGGAACTTAACCATGTGAAAAGGACATCTGTGAATCTTAAAGATCACTTTATGATTCTAAGGAATTGTTAGCATTTCTGAGGTCCTTTATTTTGTATTAATTTTTTCTCAAAACAGGTCAGTCTCTGCAGACAGCAAAAATACTGTTATTTTGCAGCTCTATTTATGACATTCATAGTTCTATGGTGGGTTATTGGGCTATGGGAGACATACATAGAAATCTATAGCATAAAAGTGTGTGAAATAATATCATTAAATGGAATCCAGGTGCAAAGAATCCAGGGCCAAATTTTAACCCTTACAGAGATCAGGTTTTAGTTGTTGAAATATCCTTGATCTTTTGTGTTGGCTCTGCATCTAGAAAACCTGTTCCCTCTCTTTCCTCCAAGATGCAGAGGGCGTGGGTGGAGTAGATTGTTCAATGGCAAGCTGCAGCCGGAGTAAAGATCACTCGTGTCCTTTTCTAGAATCTGATATAATTTAAAGTGTTTCTTGTGATTGCTGGGGAACTGTCCTTGGGGAAAGATGCAGATGTGAGTGACGGAGGATCACCTTTCTACCTCTGTTATACAGAGCTTTGGTGTACTGAGTTTAAACATTACCTAGCACATTATCTTACAAGCTGTAGTTTTATTCTTAGACTCTTTTTTGTAAGATAATGTAATGTTGGAAATCTCCTTTAGCAGCTTCTATTTCAAAATTATTATATGGATTTTTGGTCATTATCTTCAGTGACTTAATATGGCTAATGAATGGTCTAGAGTTCATAGAGGAAAAACTAAGATTTTGTTGTGATGCCACAGCCAAATATTAAGGAAAGAAACCCCGGGTTTAGAAAATACAAAAAAAAAATGACGTACAGATAATGTTACTTCTGGGTTTGGGTTTTTTTATTTTTAAAGTCTGTGTAGTTTTGTGCAATACCATAGTGAATGAGAAAATTACGTTCTTCACTCGTTTTTCTGATTTTTGGGTCCTGACATGCTGGCATAGTGAGATATCCATAGTTGTAGAAGTAATTTCCTGTATCAGTTTTCCCAAGTCTAACTTTGTTGGCTTTCCAGTTGATACGTAAGGCTGTTTCTTCTTCCAACCTACTTCAGAGGAGGCTAGACAAAGGCAAATTTAGAAGTGTGTGAGTGTGGGCAGAGCCAGCAGCAGAACGGTGGTGTAATTTTGAAGGAATCTTAAAAGAGTTCAGTCTGTTTGGACATTGGTGCTAATATTATCCAGTTCCAGAAGCCTAAACAAAAATGGTTAAAAAACAAAAGCACCCAGAAACTGACTTAACGCTACTGATATGAATGATGATGCAATAATCAAGAATTTTAAAATTGGATTTTTTCATCTCTATTATGCATTTGCTGTTTAGACTTTATAATAAATAGTGCATGCAAGTTATGCAACTAACAGTAGAAAGCTAGATGATGTTTCATAACTGTCTTTTAATTACAGAAACTTAAACTGGGATAAATCAAAAAATGCGCTTTGTGGTAAAACTGTACTAATCACTTGAAAATGTCTGCATAAACTGATGTTAATATCTAATGATAATGAATTTTTAATCCCTTTAATTTTACTTCTTTTGGATATTCTTGTATCCTGTTATACCAGTATTGAAACTGATAGATTCATACGTAACATAGTGTAGACATAATTCAGTGGGCAAATTGTTTGATGCTAAGTGCATCTCAGATATTTTTGATTTCTAGCATGCTTTTGAAGTAATGTGGGAATTGTGGTAACAAAAATATTTCCTTAACATTGCTAAGAGAATAACCAGTTTGTGGTTTTATTATTTCATCTCTAATTGTATTGGGTTACTGCTTATTTTCCCTTTTTACAACCCTTTGCGCCATTCTTGCCGCTAATTTACAACACTATTCTATGATAAAGAACTAGTATATAAAAGACTAGTGTTACAGTATTGGATAGGTTTTGCAGAGCTACACATCAAGATACATGCAGCTGCTATAAAAAGCCAAAGAAACTCAATTGCAATTTTATTGTCCAGTTTGATAGATTTCCTGCCACCTTTGCAGCAGGGAAGCTGTTTATCACTGTAACCCTCACCTCCAACAGCTGCACGTTTTATAAGCAGCAACGGCTTTTCTGGCATAATTGCACTGCGTTGGTTTTCTTGCTCTTGGAATTTAGAAGGTGCGTGCAGCCTTTTTACAGCCAAATTTCTCAGTGTTACTCATGTATTTTGCTCATTTCCATATTATATTTTTTTATGTTTTCCAAATATTAACACAGTGTATGCAAAGGTGTTTAATCTGTGGCTTCTAGTTCAATAAAAATGTTAATGAAAAAATTAAATCTCAACTCCAGTTTGTTCTAACTGGCCAGTGCTGAATTTATGACAGCATCCAAGAGCTTCTGTTTTTTAAACATTGTAACCATACTAGCTAGGCCTTAGTTTTTATCTGTCTAGCCATGTTACTTTGTAAAAAGGACCAATGATTTTAGGATTAATAGTAGGAAACAAGTAAAGAATGGCAGACAACTTGCCTTTGCGACCTTTCAGCTTCCCCAGGTTTTAAGGTAGTACAATGATTTACAAAGTATAATACACTCCTAACTAATCTGAATGTTTTAAACTACTGGGAAGAGCTAACATTTGCTTATTCCAGGCCTTTAAATGTATTTTACCACTTAAAAGTTGTTTCGTGTTACCATGTGATTCAGTTAAAGAGACGATACTTGGGTAAATTCTGATACTTTTTACTTTTTTTTTTATTAGCTCAAGAAATTTTCATTGAGTGAGACTCAGAAATGTTAATATATATAAGCTACAGTTTTATTGCTGTGTAAGTGGAAATTGCTGTATAAGTGGAAAACTTTTGTTCACTGAAGTGAATGGGAAGAAGTAATCTTAAAACGTTAGTACTGTGACTTTAACGTACAATGTATTTCTAAATTGTCAGTCTAAGGAAGTACAGTTGTAGTAAATACTGGTGAGCGTTAAGCACATTTGTAAGTTCTTTGGTGCTCTGCTCATTTAATACAGGAGAAAAAAAAAAAGGTGTGCACAGCATTTACCTGTTTACCTTCATCACTGTCAGGTGGGGGAGAACTGGCAAAAGCAACAGAAATTAGGTGGTGGAGGAATTGATATACGATGGAAATTTAAAAATTAATTTGCGGAGAAGTGAACATGGGTCAGTAGTCTTAGAAAGTAACAGGCCATAAGGATCTCTTGAGTCCAAGTCCCATTGGCATTCATGAGTTATTGAGGATGGTTTTGTCTCCATTTATTTCTCCCTATCCTGAAGGAGGCAGGATCTCCCACAGTGGTATGTGCAGGTGTTTTTAGCTCTAGGGCATTTTGAAGGCTTCAGATTTTCCTCAGTTCTCTGAAAAGTGTGTGCATTGCTCTGAGGGGAATCAGAGTCAGCTAGTCAAGAGGGTCATTGTGCTACTGCAGGTTTTTGGTTTTCAGTTGTGCAAAGACCAATGTATCAATGAGCAAAGCTGGGGGAGACGCAAATTAAGTAGCACACACGAGGTACTTTAAATATGGCGTTCATTCTTATGGTGTAAATAGTTGTTTATAAAAAAACATTGCTTATTCTAGATAGAAATGATTCTTGGGGGGTCACTTGACTTAAGGAGAGCAGAAGAAACTTGGAGACTAGACTGTGAAGCCTCCTTTAAATCTGTGTACCCTCCTAGATGTGTGGTTATGATACAATCCTTCACTTTTTCTAGGTGTTCCCTTGTTACAGCTTCTTTTGTAGTAGGTGTGTGGAAACACTTTTCCTAATCGATGCCTCTGAGGACAAGAAAGTATTTTCATTGTTCAGCAGCCAGAATAGGCGGGAGGAGGGATCTGTACCACTGATGAGCTCTTATGCAATGCAGCATGTATGGTTAATGGGGAGCTCCTCCATCTCATTATTCACTCGGTTTGAGTGAGTGGAATGTCATGAATAACACTGCAGGATGCTAAAATTTGACTCAAACTGAAAGAAAAGTGTGAAGTAGGGGGTGGGAATAGAGTGAGCAGCCTAAACTAAGAATTTATGAAGCAGGAAAGAACTGGATCAGCTGGCTAGAGGAAGAGGCACAGAAGCCTTAAAAGCAGAGTGTGACAGAGATTTGCTACTGGTTGAGAAATGCCAGAGATCTCAAAAAGAAGAAATGGGGAAACATTTGTAGTGGAAAGAACTGATGCATAAAGAGGCAAACAGCTATGAGTGAGTCTTTCTAAGCAGAGATTACCTCAACAGAGAAAGGATTCTTATCTGTATAACTGGG